GAACAAAATTCAAGCCAGGTGCCAGTGGCTCACGCCTGTCATCCTAGCTATTCAGGAGGCTGAGATCGGAGGATCATAATTTGAAGCCAGCCTGAGCAGGAAAGTAAGTCCATGGGACTCTTTTGTGTGTGTGTGTGGCCACTCCTGGGGCTTGAACTCAGGGCCTAGGCACTGTCCCTGAGCTTCTTTGGCTCAAGGATAGCACTCTACCACAGCACCACTTCCAGCTTTTTCTGTATATGTGGCACTGAAGAATCAAACCCAGGGCTTCGTGCATGCTAGGCCAACACTCTACCACAAAGCCACATTCCCAGCCCCCATGAGTCTCTTATCTCCAATGAACCCTGAGACAACTGGAAAAGGTCCTGTGGTTCAAAGTGGTAGAGCACTAGCCTTGAGCGATAAAGCTCAGGCACAACATCCAGGCCCAGAATTCAAGTCCCATGACCAACAAAACAAAAAGAAAAAAGAAAAAAAAACAGGCCAAGGAATTATACATCTTTAGAGTCGATAGATAGGACGGATATGAAATTTGTCTTGGAGCTGCCATTTAATAAAATAAATATATTTACTTTCCTTGTATTTGTTGCTGGAGCCTGAATTTGTCCAAATGACCACACGGGGGCAGTGTAGGGTGCGTCCCCAGCACAAAGGGTGAGGGCAGATCTGGGCAGGAGAAAGGGAGTAAAACTGGCAATTGGGGTCCGGGGACACCTACAGCACCCAGTCAGTCATGGGGGTGTCAGTCATGGGGCTTGAATGCAAGGTCTGGGCACTGTCCTTGAGCTTTTTTGCTCAAGGCTAGCACTTTAGTACTTTGAGCCATAGCGCCATTTCCCAGTTTCCTGCTGGGGCTGCCTTTGAACCATGATCCTTAGATCTCAGCCTCCCAAGTAGCTAGGATGACAGGTGTGAACCACCTGCACCTAACTGCTTTAGTTAGTCGGTCATGGGGCCTGAACTCTGGGCCTGGGCGCTGTCCCTCAGCTCTTTAGCTCAAGGCTAGCGCTCTACCTCTTGAGCCACAGCATCACTTCCAGCTTTTTTCTGCTTATGCGGTGCTGAGGAATTGAACTCAGGGCCTCATGCATGCAAGGCAAGCACTCTACCACTGAGCCACCTTCCCAGCCCTGCTTCAGTGATCTTTTGGATAGAGTCTTGTACTTTTTTTTTTTGCCATGGTCTGGCATCCAGCTGCCATCCTGTCAAGTCTCCACCTCCCATGCGGCTGGATGACAGGTGGCAGCCAGTGCCCAGCCCAGGCCTGTCTCTTATACCAACCTTGCTCCTTCTCAATAGCATTTAGTGCCACTTGGAATGACATATCTATTTTTTATTTTTTTTTTCAGGGCTGGAGATTGAACCTTGGGCCTTGTGCATACTAGATAAGAACTCTACCACTGAGACACATCTTCAGCCTTGCATATTTATTTGCGTGTGTGTGTGTGTGTGTGTATGTGTGTACTGGGAATTGAATTCAGGGCCTGGTTGCTGACCCCTTAGCTTTTTCACTCAAGGCTGATGCTTGACCACTTGAGCTACAGCTCTACCTCCAGCTTCTTGTTGGTTAACTGGAGATAGGAGTTTCTCTGATTGGTCTCCTGAGGTTGGCTTTGAACCTCCATCCTCAGATAACAGACTTCTAATAGGATTACAGGAGTGAGCCACCAGCACTGGGCTTGTATATATGTGTGTGTGTGTGTGTGTGTGTGTGTGTGTATACATATATATACACACACACATATACATATATATACACATATATGTATATATATATATTAGTAGGAACTCTTTGCATATTGAGGAAATTAACGATTTATCTGTGTACCATTCAAGGATCCATCTAGCAGGACAGAGATGGTACACTAAAATCAGAGTAAATTTGACAAGGTTTAACATAGTTAAACTGGCAGGGCACTGGTGGCTCCTGCATGTAATCCTAGTTTCTCAGGAGGCTGAGATCTGAGGATCATGATTTGAAGCTATCCAGGGGCAGGAAAGTCTATAAGACATATTTCTCCAATAAACCAGCCAAAAATTCCAGAAGGCTGAGAAGGTGGTTCAGTGGTAGAGTGCATGAGGCCCTGCACCACATAAGCAGAAAAGCCACAAGTGGCACTGTGGCTCAAGTGGTAGAGCGCTAGCCTTGAGCTGAAGGGCTGAGGGACAGCGCCCAGACCCAGAGTTCAAGCCCCACAACTAACAAAAAAAAACAAACAAACAAAGAAACAGAAAAACCCAAAAAGCCAGAAGAGGAGCTGAGGCTCACATAGTAGAGCTCTAGCCTTGGATGGGAAAAGCCAAGGGACAGCACCCAGGCCCTGAGTTCAAGTCCCAGGACTAGCACACACAAAACAAGAGTACCAAGGGTACAGGGAGGTCATGCACGGGGCATGCTGGTCCCCAACATGTGTGCACAGCTGCAGGAGATGCCAGGTGTGGTCAGGTGTGCGCCTGCGTGGGTAGGCCCCGGGTCTGAGCTGGGGTGGTACGTGTCTGCTGGCGTGTCTCAGGACAGCATTCCTGCCAGGTGGGGTTGGCATGGGGACGCAGCGGGCTGGTGAGTAGCCATGTTGGGGGGTGCCCGCTGCTGTTCCAGCTTCCTGGTCACAAGGAAAGGCAGGAGATCGGATCTGGAGCTGCCTCTCCCATGGATGGAGAGGGCTGAGCCTGGGCCCAGAGGTTTTGGGGTACATAGTAAGGAAAATGAGCAGCTCAATTCACAAACATTTGGGGTGGAGGCGGCGGTCCTAGGGCTTGAACTCAGGACCTGGGTGCTGTCCCTGAGCTCTTTCCACTCAAGGCTACTCCTCTACCACGTGGAGCCGCAGCTCCACTTCTGCTTTTTGAGTGAGTCGTTGGAGATTAGAGTCTCAGGACTTTCCTGCCCAGGCTGGCTTTGAACCGTGATCCTTATATCTCAGCCTCCTGAAGAGCTAGGATGACAGGTGTGAGCCACTAGTCTGACGGTGGACTTGCTGGAGGAAAGAAAGAGAGAGAGAGAGAGACAGAGAGACAGAGAGAGACAGAGGCCTGAACACCAGCTGTCCAGGCCTGGTGTTGGTGGAAGGGGGTGGGTAGCAGTGGCCAATCCACCAAGAGAATTTCCTTCTGAGAGCTTCTCATTGTTCCCTGGCACGCTAGCACCCCCCACACCCTACCCAGCTTTGGGTGGGGGAAGGAATGAGAGGAAGTGGGCGCAGGCTCAGCCTGGTATGTTTGCAAACAGTTGCACGCACGGTAGCTTTGTCCAGGCCTTGAGAACCTGGGAACACCTTTCCCAGAATTGTGTGTGTGTGTGTGTGTGTGTGTGTGTACTGGAGCTTAAACTCAGAGTCTTACACCCTTGATAGCTTTTTTGCTCAAGTCTGGTACTCTACCACTTGAGCCACAGCTCCACTTCTAGCTTATCGGTAGTTCATTGGAGATAAAACTCTCCTGGGGCTGGGAAGGTGGCTCAGTGGTAGCGTGCTTGCCTAGCATGCATGAAGCCCTGGGTTCGATTCCTCAGTACCACATTCACAGAAAAAGCCAGAAGTGGAGCTGTGGCCAAGTGGTAGAGTCCTAGCCTTGAGCTGAAGAGCTGAGGGACGGCACCCAGGCCCTACAATGGACAAAACAACAAAAGACTCTTCTGGACTTTCCTGCCCAGGCTGACTTTGGAACGTGATCCTCAGATCTCAATCTCCTGAGTAGCTAGTTTTGGAGATGGAGATTGGTGGACTTCGCTGGCTGATTTGGCCTTGAACTGAGATTCAGATTCTCTGGATCTCAGCTTCCTGAGTAACTAGGATTACAGGTGTGAATACAAGTTTGGTGTGTGTGTGTGTGTGTGTGTGTGTGTGTGTGATACCAGACCTGAGGCTTGAACTCAGGGCCTGGACACTGTCCCTGAGCTCTTTTGCTCAAGGCTAGCACTCTACCACTTGAGTCACAGCACCACTTCCAGTTTTCTGGTGGTTCATTGGAGATCAGAGTCTCACAGACTTTCCTGCCCAGGCTGGTTTTGACGGAGGATCCGAGGAGCTCAGCCTCCTGAGTCTTTAGGACAACAGGAGAGAGCTACCAGCACCCGGCTCAAGTGAATACAATGGTGACTGTCTCCTAGAACTGGGAGAACATTCCGGGTGATTGGGAATGGCAGAACTGGCCTGGTCTACCTCTAGCTTGCTGTAGGGAACAGAATGTGTATGTGTCCAATTCTGGCACCCCCGAGCCACCTGGGCATGCGCGAGAACTAGTGGCCACCTCTGGTTCCTGCAAGGTCAGTTTGGGGAACCCCCTCAGGACTATCCTGCCCTTCTAGGGAGGTAGGAGGCAGTGGCTCAGGCCTGAAATCCTAGCTACCCAGGAGGCAGAGAGTTGAGGGACATGGTTCAAAGGCAGGCCCGGCAGAATAGTTTGGAAGACTTTTGTTTTGTTTTGTTTTGTTGGTCGTGGGGCCTGAACTCTGGGCCTGGGTGCTGTCCCTCAGCTCTTCAGCTCAAGGCTGGTGCTCTACCACTTGAGCCACAGTGCCACTTCTGGCTTGTTCTGCTTATGTGGTGCTGAGGAATCGAACCCAGGACCTCATGCATACAAGACAAGCACTCTACCACTGAGCCACCTTCCCAGCCCTGGGAGACTCTTATCTCCAAAGAACTAGCAAAAAGCCAGGAATATGGCTGTGGCTCAAATGGTAGAGAACTGATGCTGAGAAAAAAAAAGAAAAAGCTCAGGGACAGTGCCCAGGCCCTGAGTTCAAGTCCCAGGGTCCTGAACAACAACAACAAAGTGGGCTGGGAAGGTGGCTTAGTGGTAAAGTGCTTGCCTAGCATGCACCAAGTCCTCAGGTTCGATTCTTCAGTACCACATACACAGAAAAAGCCGGAAGATGTGCTGTGGCTCAAGTGGTAGAGTGCTAGCCTTGAGCAAAAGAAGTTCAGAGACAGTGCCCGGGCCCTGAGTTCCAGTCCTCAAGGAGATAGCCTTGGTGCAATGTAGATTGACAAACACGGCAGTGTCTGCTTGGTGTTTATTGAGGCGTCTGGGTTTGGTCTAGATAATTTCTTCCCTGCTTCAAAAGCTTGGCAATAGGGAAAGGAAGAAGATTCGTAGCTGGGGGTGGGGGGCGGGGGATGGCAGATCAGTGGGGACAGTCATGACATGCAAATGATCCTGGGGGTCCTGGGGGTACAAGGAGATGCTTACACTACTTTATGAATATCCTTCAGGCGATGTGACCTATGGGAAAAGCATTATATCTCCATAAAATCAACAAGTGGAAAGCAATCAAACCCAAGCCCCACAGGTGCCCCCTTTTCCCTGGCACCGCAGGGCCTTGTTCATTTGGCCGAGCGGGGATGCGCCCGGAAATGCGGGCAGCGGGCATATTTCATGGTGAGCCCATAGGTGGGGGTGAGGTCGGGCTCCACGCCGGGCGTCAGGCTGAACTCCAGCTGGTGCAGGAGTGTGGACAGGAAGAGGAACATCTCCCATTTGGCAGGAATCTCCCCAATGCACCGGCGCTTGCCCAGGCCAAACAGCAAGACCTTCTCGCTCAGTGGCTTGTTCAAGGTGGTCTCCCCATCGGTGAGGAAGCGCTCTGGGCGGAACTCAAAGGGGTCCCCCCATGTCTCCCTGCAAGGGAAGAGGAGATGGAGAATCCCAGCTGAGGGAAGATGCTGATGTGGATTTTTACTGAGAACCCAAGGGTTAGAACACGTATGTATATACATTATATTATCGATGTCCTATATCAAATAGCATATGTACATATTAAATATAAATGTTATATAATATACAGTATATTTGTATGTTTGTGGGTGTGTGTGTGAACATAGGGCCTGTGCACTGTCCCAGAGCTTTTTCACTGAAGGCTGGTGCTCTACCACTTGAGCCACAACTCCACTTTGAGATCTTTGGTGGTTTATTGGAGATGAGAGTCTTATGGACTTTCCTGCCCAGGCTAGCTTTGAACTGTGATCCTTCAATCTCAGTTTCCTGATAGCTAAGATGACAGGTGTGAGCACCAGTGCCCAGGCACAATATTTTGTGTATGTGTGTGCCAGTCCTGGGGTTTGAACTCAGGATCTAGACACTGTGCCTGAGCTGCTTTTGCTCAAGGCTAGCACTTTACTATGTATTATATATCATAAATATTACATTACGTGCCATAATCATATATTGTGTAATTTATATTGTATATTTTAAGTTACATATTTTGTGTTGGCACTAGGGCTTGAATTCAGGGCCTCACACTTTTATTTATTTATTTTTTGTCACGTGTGGGGCTTGAACTCTGGGCCTGGGCGCTGTCCCTCAGCTCTTCAGCTCAAGGTGAGTGCTCTACCACTTGAGCCATGGATCCATTTCTGGTTTTCTGATGTATTTTATTGTAGATAAATCTCACAGACATTCCTGCCTGGGCTGGCTTTGAACCATAATCCTCAGATCTCAGCCTCCTGAGTAGCTAAGATGACAGGCCTGAACCCCAGGCACCCGGCTACGTTTTTACTTAAGACTCACAGCTCCACTATCAAGTGTTCTGTTTGTTTGTTTGTTTGTTTTCCGGGTCCTGAAGCTATAACTCATGGCCTGGGCACTGTCCCTGAGCTGCTTTTGTTCAAGGCTACTGCCCTACAACTTGAGTCACAGAGCCACTTCCAGCTTTTTCTGTGATTTAATTGGAGATAAGAGTCCCACAGACTTTCCTGCCTGCGCTGGCTTCAAACCTGGATCCTCAGACCTCAGCCTCCTGAGCAGCAGAGATGACAGGTGTGAGCCACCCGTGTGAGCCACAGGGCAGCCCTGACAGCGCAGGCGCGCTGCATACTCACGGGTCATGGTTGACCTGCCACTGGTTGATGAAGACGCATCGCTCTTTGGGAATGTAGAATCCGTTCAGGATGGTGTCCTTCGTTGTGCTGGGGGAAGGAGGAGGATCTGTCAGCCTCGGGGGCTGGAAGAGCTGGGTGCACCTGCTCCACTCACCACCACACCCCAGTACCTTCCCACCACCTGAGTGGGGAGGGGGGAGAGATGGGGGCTGGGAGGAGGGGCAACAGGGGAGCCCTTTCCTCAGCCCCTGGTCCTCAGCGTCAGCATGTGCCCACTCTGCTGGGTGCCCAGCTGGGCACTGGGCCCTGCTGTGCAGGCAAGGAGCAGGTGGGTGGCCAGGGCCAGACCAGCCTTGCAGTTACTTATTTATTTATTTATTTTTGTGCTGGTCCTGGGGCTTGAACTCAGGGAGCTGTCCCTGAGCCTCTTTGTGCTCAAGGCTAGTGCTCTCCCAATGGAGCCACAGCACCACTTCTGATTTTTGAGTGGTTTACTAGTGATAAGAGTCTCATGGACTTTCTTGCCAAGACTGCCGCAGAGCTACAGTGCTCAGATTTCAGCTTCCTGAGCAGCAGGGATTACAGGTGTGAGCCACCAGTGTCATGGGACCTGGCTTGTTTTTGGTTTTGTGCTGATACTCGGGCTTGGACTCAAGGCCTTTCACTTTTCCACTCAAGATTGGTGCTCTGTCACTTGAACCACAGCTCCACTTCCAGCTTTTTGCTAGTTAACTGGAGGTAAGAGTCTCTGGGATTTGTCTGCCCAGGCTGACTTCAAACTAGAACCCTCAGATGAAGGGCATGAGCCACTGGGAGTTTGAAGCTTATTCTAGGAATTACTAGATCAACATTTGGGAGGAAGTAAATGTTGACTAACTCTCAAAATCAAGGTCTGAGGGCTTCAAATTCTAGAACATATTCAAGGCTGAAGCTGTGCCAGGTGTATACAAGAAAAACAAAATATTTCTGAGGGAATGGAGTGTGCCAGGATTTATTTGGACAAGGGTTCGATTCTGAGGGCCTACAAATTCTAGGTAGAACATTCAACAGCAAAGCTGGGCACCAGTGCTCACTCTTGTAATCTTTTCTACTCAGGAGACTAGGATCTGAGCATCATCCTTCGGAGGTCAGCTTGGGCAAGAAAGCCCTCTGAGGCTCTTAATTTCAATGAATCTACAAAAAGCCGGAAGTGGAGTTGGGACTCGAGTGGTAGAGCGCTAGCCTTGAGTAAAAAAGCTCAGGGACAGCTCCCAGGCCCTGAGCTCAAGCCCCAGACATGGGCATGTATATGCATGCATGCATGCGCACGCACACACACACACACACACACACACACACACACACACCCCAAAAGAACACAAAAAGGGCAGAGGAGGCACCTGTGGGGGATGGTGAAGGGGGCGAAGGAGCTGTGTCTGAACGTCTCCAGGATGA